TTCTGTTAACAAGAATTAACATTTTTTTATTAAAATCACTTATTCAAGGACAATGACAGGCAGTGAACTTTCCATGCTGATTTTATTAAGATGTGAAGCATCTATACGATAGTTCGTCACAAGTTTTCTTTATTAATATGGTGTTAAGGAAGGCATTGATGTAATCATTTGCAAGGCTTTCTTTTTCTTTTTCAATGCATCTATCGAAAGTTCATATTTTCTGTTACGATAATTTCGATAATATAACAATCAAAAAATATTCGTCCGAACGCAAAATCAAAATAAGGAGATCAAAATTGATATCATCTGTTGTTCGACCTTCGATAGCACCATTACTTTGTTTATAGAGAGATCGACAAGAAAGTGTGATATCTTAAGCGCTGCTATTTTTTTGGTTGCAAGAAAAGTAAAATGAACGGAGCTGTACATTCAACGATACGTAGAGCTAATTCTAGGCCATGATAAATAGAAATAATTGATTGATCAATACTCTGTTTGTTTGTGCAAACAGAGTATTGATAGATATCGTAGAGATCTGGTAATAATTGTCTTATAGATGTCTTTTCTCTAAAAGATCTTTTTTTTTATTGATCTATGACTTGCAGCAAAACATTTTGAAGTGCAAGAAGAAAAAGAAAAAAAAGTATCATACAAAATTAAAGATCGATAGATATTAGGACTGTCAGCAGATCACTTTTGTTGCTCTGGCCTGCAAGCCAAATCAGACCATCGATATTTCTGGTTTTTCGAATACGTTTAATTCTACAACTCTACTTTAATGTATCATTCTGATTTCAGTTGTTCACTCAATTTATTTCCATGAAGATAAGATAATAACAAATTTTTACACGAAACAGCGACCTAAAACAAAGACACAATCAGTATAAAAAATTTTTTGATAAAAGAAGAGCTATCTATCTCGTCTTGCTCCTCCTATGAGTTTTGGTGATATTTTCGGAACATTTCACCTCGACAATCCACCAAGTTCAATAGACTTGGTAAAGATGAACAAATATATCTCTGAAATATAATTATGAGAGTGTAGATTGTCTTAGTAATGAATCATATTGAAAGTCTCTCTTCGATAATTATCAACTTATATAAAATAGTAGATTTCGAAGAAAACGAAGTTCAATTAATTTTTGCATTGCTCGTGATTGATCGCTACTCAAAAATTCTTAGCTACGCTATTGGTTTTGATTAATGAATGTTCAAGGGTCTCCATTTATTGCAAAAAAGTAAAAGTATTAAAAAATGTATTCACTTCATCGACACACACATGCCAAAAACAATCTAACGTTCACACCTGAGTGCAGTCTTATCTCCTCTTTTAAACAGTGAAAACTTTAGACCTCTCTCTTGTTTCTATCAAAAATTATTCCAAAAATACTCACTCTTTGTGTATTTTGAAACAGATAATAGTTGAGTCTTCTGAAAACTTCAAACGGAAAGAATATTCCTTTGTCAAGATATTGAATTTTCAAAAAATGATCATTAAGAATAAAAGTCGAGTTTACTTGAAAATTCAATATCTCAACAAAGAAACATTCTTTTCGACCAAAACTTTCACGATATTCTACTAGTCGCTTACACTGTTTATGAATGACATTTCGGGTCGAATCAATGTTATTTGCTTTTGGTTGGTAAATACCTGAAGTTGGATCGAAAAAAAATTTCAGTGAAACCTACACCCTTCATTGAGAAAGTTCTGGAATAATGTAAGCTAAAACTCTACTTAAATTGAATCCAGCAGAGATAATTTGGGACTCAAAGGGTTAAAAAAAGATTTTTTTCACTAGTAGGTAGTATAATGTTTTTTTCATTGATCTATGTTAGAATCTAACAACAAAACTTGTTTTTTCAGAGAGCATTTACACTAATGCTAAAAGTGCTAGAGAAAACATCTGCATTATTACAGTTGTACTGATTCGGATTACTCTAGCAAATTTTCGCTGAAGTGATTATTGAAAACCTCTAGAAAATTTTCTGAGTGTTGCTTCTGAGAGAACATAAGTTTGTCACACTTAGTTGCTTTTCTCTATGTAAAATGAGAAAATATAATTAATTGATTTAATTAACTATAATAAGAATTGATCAACCCTCGAAATAATTCTTTCAATCATTATTTTATTTTTACGATATATTTCATAGAATAAAGATTTAACTTTCCTTAGAGAGAAATTTGTCGCTAAAAAATAAAAAAAAATAAAAAAAATACTCAGATCTATTCTTGCAAAATTACAAGACTGTAAATTACTACAAAAACATTTTGGCTATTCAATTTAAGAAATATTGAATGACAGGTTCTAATATTATTTTTGAAAATGAGAGGCTGTTGATGGCTGCTTGAAATATATCTAACATTGGATTGCTACTGCTGAGTTTAGTTTTATGTAATTAATATTTCAGTTTAAGCAGCACAAAGAAATCAAATATGTATAGATTCGCAGAACATGCTAGGTCAACATATACTTCAATATAAACCGATCTTCTGTAGAAAAAAATGGTGCGGTGCACTTATCTCCTGTATTCTAATAATATAACTATCATCGATCACTAGTAACATTATCAAATGCAACAATGATATTGGTCTATCTAAATCTCTTCAATAAATGTCGAGACAATTAAACACGGAACTACTTGTAATCATCGATGAGCTAATAATGAATGTATCGAACATAAAACTTCGTAGAACTTTGAACATATAAAAATAATTAAAATAAGTGTTGACCAAATTAGGCGCAGAATGTCTCCTACATATTCGAGCATTCAGTGAGAAGCATTTTCAATTATTGCTCGAAACGATATGAATGTATGACTGATCTGAAAGAATTGTAATAGTAAGGCGTTGTACAAGATTTAGAGATCTGATATTTTGCACACAATCCTAAATACGTATGTTTATGTATTATATCATAATACTTGACCTAAATGTAAAATTGTCAGATGGATTGTACGAAAAAACTTTTGTATCTTGTTGCCTAAACAAGAATTATTGATCTTATAATCATCAATTTATGTATTTCAATGGTATTAATCTCTCATTTCTCATCTGACTATCAGTACATAAATTTGTCGAATGAATTTTGTTTTGATTTCATTATTATATAAAAAAACTGCAATCAGTTCGAATGAACTGTATTTTTTTGTCTTTTGAAGTTTCGTTAATTAAAACTTAAAGAAATATGAACATCCATTCACTTGTTGTTTTCTAATCGCTTTGTAAATTATTATATGCCTGTTTTGCATGTTCGATGAGAGGAGCATTTTTGCAAGCTTCTGAAACTCATACAATCATCACTAACAAAATTAAAAAGGGATAAAATTTTTGGAATATGAAACTCAACTAATCTTTAATTTATAGCCCTGTAGTTTCATAAGCATAGATCTTAGATTGTTTACTTTTATTTATTGTGGTAACGTCAATAATGTTCTGCAAGAAAAGTCCAACCTTGACTATGTAGAGTATATTATAAAAATAAAATGATGATCGAAAGAATTTTTTTCTATATTTGATTAATTCTTATGATAGTCACCTAAGTCAATTAATTATTTTTTTCTAGTTTTACATGTAGAAAAAGAGCTGGGTGAGACTAACAACCTTTTTCTCGGGAGCAACGCTCGAGAAAATTTCTAGATGCTTTCAAGGAGTTCTTTAGCAAAAATTGTTGGAGTGGTTCGAGTATCCCAAAAAATTCCACTAGAATAATCCAAATTATTTTACTGCATTTGAAGAAAAAAAAATTTCATCTCCAAAAGATCTCACTGTTTGAATAAGTATATTTCAAAAAGTTCAACAAATTGAAGAAAACTTTCCAAGTCTTATAGAAAAGACTTTGGACTATCGAGTTACATGTTTCTTCAATATAATTACAATTTATTATTGGTTGATAGAAAAATTGCAGAATAAGTTTCTATCAAAACTTGCTACAAGAATCTAAATCACTCTAATTGTGATAATGTGGATGTTCCTATTTTTTTTCAGGACTTTATTATTGCCGTGAAAACTTTATAGAAAAATAAGTTTATTTAGATTTTACTATGGATCGATGGAAAACATATAGGGCTATCTACGAATGAAAAAATATTCTTTTATGTTATCTAAAAAGAGATTGAGAAATGACTGAGATATATCGATTTTTTTTTAATGATGATCAAAATTACACCAAGTGATTATATATGTTTCGATGGTTCACATAACAAAAACAGGAAAGATAGAACAAGAAAAAGATCAGAAAAACGGAACGTTGATATTTTTAAAATGCATTTTGTTAGAATACGATCCGAGGAGCTCAAGATAATTGAGAAATAGAAACTTTTCATTCTTCGTAGATTCTTTCCGGAAAAATAAGGGTGGCACAAAATTTGTAGTTCAGACAGTGCTGTCCAATAAAAAAAATTTGATTGATTTAGAAGTTGGCCATACGGTCTAACATAGGTTCACATTTGTGCAAAGACTTCTTACCGCATGTTATTTATTAAATTGAGTTCGTACGTCATAAAAAAATAACAATAAGCGCCTGGCTAACGGAAAAATATGATAGTGTAGTGAGGCAAGAAGCCATGACATTTTAATTTTTTTTAAGTGATGACCGGACTTGCCTGAACTCCTCATGTGCATGGCAACATGTTTTTTCTTTTTCGAATAATTATTATCACATGATTTTTCATAACATTAATTGTATTTTGACGACGTTGTTGTCATAGACAACAAAAGAGATTTACGCATTATTCTTTTTTTATCATTACGACGTACGTGAAAGGCAATAGATTTTGGATTGTAATACTATAACGACAAAATCTTTAAAAAACAGTTTTTTTTACCGACATTTACTATTCAATTTATAGATTATAATGATTTTCATAGGTCCGTTAAAATTTGAATCATCAACATTTTATTTAGCTTTTAGTTAAAAAAGAACAGCATTCAAATAAATCATAGTGATCAACATAGAAAAACAAAACATGACAACAACAATCTTAAGATAAAAACTGACATATCATCGTGATCTTTTGATTTTTTTTAATACTTGTGATATTTGTTTAAGATCAATTCCATATTTTTCAAGTTGTATCATATAATCATTATGTTGTTGAGTCCATTGAATAAATGATTTATTCATATCAGATTCTACTGAACCTAATTGACCACCATATTCATTTGGTAATAATGATGGATCAATATATTTATGTAAAGATCTTTTCATTGAATCATTTGATGTTCTTGAATGAAAATATATTCGATCATCAAGATCTCGACAATAAAGTAAACGAAATAAATGTAATATAGGATGAAAAATACTTGGATAATTATAAAAATGAATTTGATGTAAATGAACTGGATACATTTTTTCCCAGCAATCAACATAACGACGAATACGATCAGGTGTAAATTGTCTTATATGTCGTAAACGAATATTTGTAAAATCTAATAATATTATAAAACCATTTAATTGAGTAGTTGATTGACTATTTATAATATCTGTTACAGCAAATGCATAACGAGTAACATCATCAATTGTATAAATTGTTGGATCATAATGTCCTAAACGTATAAGAAAAATGAAATGTTTATCTTTTGTTGTTTTTGGTAATTGAATACAATAAGCTAATTCAGCAATTTGATACATAACTGGATTTTTGAGTAAATCACGATTTTTAAACCTATAAGAAAAATTCAATTTTCAAATATTGATTTTATATTGAAAAAAAAATAAGCAAACCATCGAGGATTTTCTGTACGAAGTCGCCAAAAATGAATTAATCTTTCTTTAGTATTTTCCAAACGAAAATCTGTAACACGTAAAAATCTTAATAAAAAATCATCTGTATCAAGTGAATTTAAAATAGGTTGTTGTTGATGAATCCATTTTTGAAGATGATTAATATGATCTCGTATCGTTAACAGTTCTTCACTATCATCATCAGCTTGTGCCATATTGTTCCTGTTACTTGTCTTGTTCCTATAAAAAAAATGAGTGAAGAAATAAAAAGAAAGGATAAGAATTAATTGAAAGACGACGTCTTTATTCTTTTTTATTCTTTTTTTTTGACTTGCTCTCAACCTGAGTATCTTTTATAAACAACCATAGACAACAAAAGTTTGGACTGTTTAGTTTTTTTTTAATTTCTATGTGCGTCTTGGAAAATAAAAAGATATTTGAACGATAGTAGATGTAATAAAGCATGAAAATGTAATAAGTAATTATCCAACAAAAAAAAATAAAAGTTACAAGACGACAAGGACACAAAGTTGTTCTCAGACAGAATAAATAATATAGCACATAAATTACTTTGACTATTAAAAATTTAAGAAAAAAATTCTCTCATTACTAATTTTTTTAAAATCGATATTCAAATTAGTTGTATGTTTTTTTTTATAGAAAATAAAAATAATAGTTGTCTTGTTTTGCTACTGAAGAAGTTCACGATAAACTCCTTGCAGATTCATTAAATGAGGACTAATCTAAGTAAAAATATAATAAGTCAGATACTCATTATTATTAATGAAAAATCTTCTCCAATAAACAATGTTTAGAGATTAGGAATAAATTTGAACAGTAATTCAAGGGAAAAAATATAATACTATCTGTATGAATACAAAAAAAAAATATATCATATAGGTTAAAAATCTATAATGGAAACACATACTAAACCGTAGTAATTTCAAATAAAATATGTGAGACAAACTTAGCTATGAGCACATGAAGAAAAAAAAGTTTAAAAGAAACTATTTATTCAATTATATGAAATAAATTGGAGCTCATCAGAAAAATAACTTGTTGTAGAACGTTATATCATATGAAGTGAATCAACAGTATTTATCGATGAAATATGTCAACCAAATTCTTTCAAGAGTTTTGTTAAAGATAAAAGCAATTACCTCGAATTAAAACATCGAACATTTTCTTTCAAGACTATTTACGGAAAATCATATATGAGACAATCAGGTAAAAGGATGAGAATTTTGCGTGCAAATGTAATTATTTGTGATATATCTTTATTTCTTTTTAACTTAAAACCAAGAAAGTATTTATATCTTATATGAATCTATAAAATATTTCTTGTTTGATTAAAGAAAAAGGAGCTATAGTCAAGAGAAATAGTGCCTTGAATGAAATCAGACCGGATGTCCTATTAATAGGTCATCATGTCTTTTTTTTAATGTAGATACAAGTTCTTTTTTCCTTATATGTGGATAAGAAATTTTTTATTGCTTGGAATTGTTGATAATTTATTTTTGTCATATATTCATAAATAGAAGGATATGAAAAACGAGAAAAAAGCATTCATACAAAAAAAATATATTTTTTTTATATGAATTGATACTGATAAACATCGATGTTTATGAAAAAAGGTCGAACTATTCTAAAAGTAGATCATAAAGCTAAATAAATTGTTATTCCTAATATTCATAAAATAATTAATTAGCGTCTTTAGAGAAATTATTCGACTAGTTCATGTAAAAACCGTCTTATGTACACAAAAGACTATAGGCAGTATTTAAATGATGCTATTGTTATATGTTATTAGTATTAAATAACTTATTGAAACATCAGTCGTTTCGGTAGCTATAAAATCATGCCTCAACACACATTGTTTAATAAGAAAATGAGTTTTCAATTGTCCCTGCTAAACATGAGAACACACTGACATGAAATTATTCAGTGTAAGATGTTAATTATTTAAAAGAAACATCTATGCATTTTCTGTTACTGATTATGTGCTCTGATGAAAAAATTCAAAGAACCTGATTAACTTATATTTTTTTGCATTTACGCTAAACTGAACAATAATTTTTTATAATAATAGAATATTTAGCTCATCCTTATAAAATTAAATATTGGCATGCAACTTTTTCTTTTCTGCAGTAAATTTTGAACGTGTTTTTTATTAGCAGATTTTCTTATCTTATTAATTAAATCAAAAAAAAAACAAATTATTGGAAAAGTTAAATATTCTTTTTCAATTAATTCATCATAAAGGTGATAGGAAAGCTAGAGAAATAAAGAAAATAAAAAAGTAGAACATTCAGACACCAATATAAATATCAACATATTAATTAAAAATTCCGATGAAAGTGAAAATGATGAAGATTGGGAAACAGTAGGTTACAAAAAGGTGAACAAAATTCAAAAACGAAAAGCTACAGCAACATCAACAACAGATACTCAACTACGATAAATCACGTATTCAGATGTGACTACGGAAGGAGTTCATTCATACTTTTTTTTGAAAAAGCTGAAAGAAAACTTAAACTATTCTCTACTAAAAAGAACCTTCTAGGACTACGAAGAACACAAGCACAATATCCGACAAATGCTTCGCTGAACAACAATATTAATGAGAAAAATAACCAATTAAATCTACCATCATTCAAAGTAGAGTTTGAAAATCAGCAAAATCCACCAGAAAGATACGTATTAAATGATCTTGTCAAACGCAATCATAAACTAAATATCAGTACAGCTTTCTATTCCAAATATATTCAATCATATAATGTACTATTACTATGCGCAAATGATTCATCAACTTATGAAATGCTCTTCGAGAATAGTTCATGGGCAAATTTAATTTGTAATTTATCATTTCAAGTTACTTTGCTTCGTCGAATTCCTGTTTCATATTCTATTATTATAAATTGCATTCTTCGTAAATGGAATATCGATACTATTGTTGAGCATTATACATCAACAGATCATGTTAGAAGAATATTTCATGATGATCAACCCACTACAAAAATTCGAATAGATTTTCATTCTCAAGATGATGTTAATTTGATTCTTAAAAACGGTTATATTTACATAGATAGCATCCGTTATACAGCAACAGCTTATAAACCCCTTACTCAAATTGATTGATGTTTTAAATGTCAGCAATTCGGGGATAAACTTCATAATTGTATGAACGAACCAAAATGTCGTAAATGTGGAGAAATTCATGCTTACAATCCAAATTATTTAAACTCTATTAAATGTGCTAATTCTGCAGGTTCTTACATGGCAGAAGCACCTCAATGTTCAGTTAAAATATCTTATCGCAAAAATCAACAGCAACGATAGGCGACAAGCATGATTCCTAAATCTACAGTTACGCCTTATCTACCTTCTTTAGCTCGCCTTTATTCAAATGCTTTGCAAACAATTTCATCTCATGTTAATTCTACTACAAAATCTACAGTATTACCTGAACCATCAAAATTCGAACAATGTGATCAATTATCTGTCATTTTTAAAACACTAAAAGACGAAATTACTAAATCACACAATATTCTTATAGACACAAATCTTATGCATCGAACAAAAATCTGACTTAGTTACTCAACAACATCTTTCTTCACTTCAAATGATTGAAACTCAAATTGTACCTTATTTGTTATCCATGTCGGAATTGCTGATTAATGTATAGTTGTTCATACTATCCGACTGTATGGACCTAACTATTCTTCATTTTAACAACTACGCCAATTATCGATTAGCTAGTTTCTTCAAATCTCACTATACTATATACTTTCAACATGGATCAAATAACTTCAGGGGTGTTTGTTTAGCCATTACTCATGAAATACCTCATCAATGTATCTCTCAAGTCAGCCATATCGAGAACTTGATTGCTATTGACATCTTCAACTAGGGCTGTACCGCTCACGCTCATGAGCGCTCATATGAGCGTGAGCGATTTTTTTCTGACGCTTATGCTCACATGAGGGGCGGTCGCTCACGCTCACCTGAGCACAAGCGTAGGGCTGTACCACTCACGCTTATGAGCGCTGATATGAGCGTGAGCGCTTTTTCGCTCACGCTCATGCTCACGAGAGGGATGGTCGCTCACGCTCATATGAGTAGGGCTGTATCGCTCACGCTCATATGAGTAGGGCTGTATCGCTCACGCTCATGTGCGCTCATATGAACGTGAGCGACCACCCCTCACGTCAGCATGAGCGTCAGCAAAAAAACGCTCACGCTCATATGAGCGCTCATGAGCGTGAGCAGTGCAGCCCTATCTTCAACAACAGCCAACGATTCAGTCTTGTCGTTCTTTATATACCACCTTCTTAAAATTTAACTACTGACACTTTTAATCAGTTGTACGAACGTAATTTTAATTTAATTCTAGTAGGTGATCTGAATGCTCGACATCCTCAATGGTTTGATGTGACTACGAATATGAACGGCTCTCGACTGAGTGAATGGATTAATTCATTGCCAAACCTAAAAATATATAATGATTCATAACCCACATCAGCTCGATCTCAAGCCATTCTTGATCTGATCATAGTCCCACATCAAATATCATCGGAAAATTCTGAAGTCGGCTAAACTATGCAAGTTACCGACCATTATCCTGTTCATTGGCAAATCAAATCATTTTTCTTCAATAATATGAATTGAAACATATCGACTGAAAATTGATAAGTTGCATTTTAGATTTCAAACAAACATTTTTCTTTAATTTAGCTCAACATATGAAAAATGCACCAACTTACTTCATTCTTCTTTATGAAAAATTTCTTGTTGCCTTACAAGCACGATGTACTGATTATCATCTGATTAAAAAATATCGAGCAAGTTTACCACACTATCTCGTTAATATCATTAAATACCGATGTAAAATGCTAAATCTTTATTCGTTGACTAAAGCAAGTGAACATCGTCTTTTGCTCGCTTCTTTAAATCGATTCATTCAATATGAATTAAGAGCAGTTAAGAAAGCTCAATGGTAAGAATTTTGTTTCAATCTCGAACCACAAAATACTCATCGATTTTGTCGACACACTCGCACTCTTTTTAACAAACGAAGCTCTAGAATTGAAGGATATGTCAATGATGCAGATGATTCTGTATTGACTGAAACTAATGCTATGATCCAACATGCTTTCAACTACTATTCTACACTATTCACAGAAATTGAAGCACCTCACCAAAATCACAGTGTTAATAAATTGAAAGCATCATTATGACAAAAACTTCTCGTCCTTCCATCTAAGCCGTTCTTATTTTGTATTGGAGACTTAATTCAATCAATTCATCGTCTTAAAACAAAGACATCAAGTGAACATGAGAAAGTCTCCAACAAATTGTTAAAGTCAATCCCGACATCTCATTATGGTTTTATTCTTCAAAGTTTTAATCAGCTGCTTATTCATAATGAATGTTCTCAACATTGGAAATTATTAAAGATGATTCTATTACCCAAAGATAAATCAATTATTCTACACATAAACAGAAAGCGATCTATCTCACTCTTACCATACTTAAGTAAGGTATACGAAAGATATTTTCTTGTCTATCTTCTTTAGTGGATAAACAATACCAGTATTCTTTCATCGGAATAATCCGGATTTAGACAACATCATTCTACCACCAGATTTATTCAATTTATACAGGATATTACTTCAGATCTAGTACAACACACAGCAGCTCGTGTAATTTATGTAGATTTCACCAAAGCCTATGATCAAATTTGGCATGATGGATTAGTCTATTAATTGTACAACATGATTTGCTCTCGAGAGTCACTCGATTCTATCATAGAATATTGGAAGAATCGTAAATGTTATATTGAACTAAACAATCTTACTTCCAACATCTTCAACATTGAGAAGGGAGTTCTACGAGACTCATGGCTTGGTTCAATTCTTTTTCTTTTATTTCACTGCACACAAGTTCAAGAAATCCTATCAACCAGTCATCAACATCTGTATGCCGACGACCTAGCTCTTATAATAACAGCCTCTTCATGGTGAACTCGATATGAGTGTGTGAAACATATGCAACATTTAGGTCAACGTACTTTGAACGAGCTTCAAATCTATGCTAATACGTGGAAACAATCAATTAATTGTGACAAAACAGAATGGGAATGGATACATAGACGGGTGGTATTACCTTCTCTTACTCTCACCATTAATCAACAAACACTCAGACGTACTTCTCTCTTTAAATATCTGCACTACGTTGTTGATGAACGCTTATCATTCAACACACATTGTACTAATATGCTTGAGAAAATTCAAATTAATTCAACTGTACTCAAATACATCACTCAATCGCATGTATCATCATTACGAACACGTCAACTAATCTTTAATGCATTTATTTTTCCATATTTTCAACTGATATATACAACCTGACCCTCACTTTCCAATGGAACTATTGACAAAATTGAAGCCAAACATCGTCAAATCTATAGATTGTTCTACAATTGGTGGAATGCTCGTAACGACGAAGTACAATAGTTGCCTGCTTTTCAAACTGCTGCAACACGTGCTCAACGTTTTTTATACCGCTTCATTGATCAAGCACAAACAATATCACCTGAGCTTTTTGAATTTTATATTCTCTCAAAAGCGATGCCAATATAGCTACAAATGCACTTCAAAGAAATTCAATTTATTGACGCTGTACCACGTGGCAGACCTAACACTTACATTCGTAATTGGATTAACTGGAACACTCATCCACATCCACATCAGTGTTACTTAGATCACTTATCTGTCTTTTTATCAGCATCCATTATTGCGCAAGCCTACCTGCTATGTACTAAACCTGTTCCAATTGTTTTTTTTGAAAACGAGACTAAGGGTCTAGTTTCCCATTATCCTCTGGATAATTGATCTTCGACATAGCGCTAATAAAACAAAAAATATTGGCATGTAGTAAATAAAATTGTTCTATAGAATGAAATCTATTTAGCGCGTTCAGTGTCATGTTCTCGCCTATTGCTGTAACTATTATTTATTTCGAGAAAAGAAAGCCGTAGGTATTTTTTAAATAACTTTTGATATGAACAAGATAAAGAGCTCCAGTTTTCACCATTACAAAGAGAAACCTCAGACATATACATAGGAATCGACATCTGATCGGCTAGCACTAAACCAAACAGATTAATTCTCTTGGTGAATATTTTAAAAACGATATGTAGGACCCATTTTTCAGTTGAACTTGATTGCTAGATAGAAAATTTTCTTCTATTCTAATCTAAACAGCATCGATCTTGCTAGCTCATTAATTTCAAGAGCTGTAAGAGTTTTCTTGAGAGCTGCGATTTCAGTCTATTCGCCTGAAGTCATTGCAAAAAGCATCTACACAGAGATACTTCACTATACTAAGTCGAATGGCGATATTTGTTTTTGGATTTTTGATTGCATGGCGCATGTAGCGAGGGTACCATGTGCCAATGTCCTCTCAAAAGAAGAGAGGCGCTACTGCTTTGGTTCCATCACTACGTTGCACTCACAACCTATGATGTATTCTATTTATTGGACCAAATAGTGTCATAGCCATCTCTTTTCTATAGATCACTTTTGCAATTATTGAATTCTGATTGATGAAATATCATCCAATTAGATATTTCTTTCAACTATGCATTATTGTTTTCTTGTATTTCCGAAATTTTTATATACTTGCAAGAATTTGTTGTTTTTCATAATCTTTCAAAAGTTGATCGTTTTTTCTTAAATCATGTCTGAACGAAAAGTTTTAAACGTATGTATAGGATTTTTATTAATTGATAAATTAATCTCAGCTTCTTTATTTAGAAATATTATCCACCAGATTTTGATCCATCGAAATTACCTCGTGCTAAACGTTCAAAAAATCGTCAATGTACCATTCGTTTAATGGGATCATGTAATATGCGGTATGCACAAAAAAAAATAATTGTGTTAATTTATTTTTTGTTTTTCTTTTTTGACAGATGTGAAACGTGTGGTGAATACATTTATAAAGGTAAAAAATTCAATGCTCGAAAAGAAGATGTCATGGGTGAAACTTATTTGGGTATTCAAACCTATCGTTTTTATATTAAATGCACGAAATGTTTACGTGAAATAACATTTAAAGTAAGATTTAAAAAAAAACCTATTCCTATTTGATTTATTTGTTTTTGAGTAGACTGATCCGGCTAATGGTGATTATGAATTAGAACATGGCGGAATACGAAATTTTGAATCAATTCGCCTTGCTGAAAAACAAGCAAAAGAAGAAGCGGCAAAAGAAGCTGAAGAAAAAGCTCTAAATCCTATGAAGGTAAGAAAAACAAAACATAAAATTTTTATTTTTGAATTTAAATAAAATTATTATTTTAGTTATTAGAAATTCGAACACGTGATTCTCGACAAGAAATGGCTGCTATTGAAGCACTTGAAGATATAATAGAATTAAATGCACGTCATGCCGATATTAAAATTGAACAAATGTTAACTCAAAAACGCGAACAAGAAAAACAATATGAAATATTTAAAAAACAAGTTGAAGAAAAAGAAGATGAAGCTGAAATTCGGTATTGTCGTCATTGCTTTATAGAATTAAAATGCAATATAATTTTTGTTCTAGAAAAATATTTGGTAAACCAATGGCTGAAATTGGCCATGATGATATTGAAAGTGAAGAAATTATTGAAAAACATGAAGAAATAGTCCCATTAGCAATCAATACTATAAAACCAAAAGTAAGTCATATTGACAATCATCTTTCAACAAGCATCTTTATGCTTTTTTTTAGACAATGATTTCATTTGCTCAAACAATTAATGCTAAAAAACAACAACCAACAAAAAATGCATTAGGTGTGATAATCAAGAAGAAATCAACAACAAACAATGATTCTGCTTCAAAATCTTCCACTGGTTTTTCTTCACTAGTTGCTGCTTACGATGACAATGATGACAGTGCTTAAAACATATTTTGCTTTTGTTTCTTTTTTTGTAAATATTCAAAAATAAGTCAATGGGACAAAACATGAAAAATAAATAGGAAATTCAAAACAATAAGCCAAAAAGCAATCATGTAAGTAATTAATGATAAGTTTTCACGACTAATAAATTGCTATTGAATCGAGACTATGTACATTGAGTAGACCCAAATAAGCTATGAATGTCTTGAGAAATTCCTGTCCTTCGTCTATTGCTGCATATATACTATACTTTGACGATATCTTTATTTGTTTTTGACGATTATGTCACAAAAATCTGTCAAATATTATGGAAAATATCGTCATTCATGATGTCAAGCAAGTTGTCTTCGAAATATTTTATCAATTGCATATGATATTTATATCTATATTTAAAATGTTGAATGTTTAGCTAGAGAAGACATTTATTATAAAGTACGATAGTTATAAAAAATACATTTGTTACTATTGAAGGTTATACAATTTTCAAGAAAATATCAAATGTCTTGTTGTATTTCAATAGGTATTCTCTGATGAGCAATTTACTGACGGTATATCATTAGTTCCCTACAAGTACCGTAATATATAACCAACAAATATTTATCAATCAATATTGTCTAAATACCGATTACCATCAGTAAGAAGAATTGAATATAATTCAAAAAATAAAAAATTGTTAAGCAACGAAAACAAAAATCATTCTACAAATCTTTATATAGTATTGAATGACTCTGACATAAAAATATATAGTTGACTAAGTAAATTTTGATAAACTTTCAGTTTTTTTTAAAATTATTCTCAAGTATGAAATACTCTCATTAGAAACATATGTTTATCTTCATAAGAAAGAAAGATATACAATGTGCATGAATCGATGTATATATTTGAATAAGTTAGAAAATAAGGGCAGAAACAAAAGCAAAAAAAAAACCAAAACAAAACACATGAAAACAATATAACAAAAACCAGCAGAAATAGAAAGAAACGGAAAAGAGAAAACAAAACAAAAAAGGAACCAGAGTAAAGTTGTTCGCAGTGCGAGCATAATATACATTTGACCTAACTACATACAAGAAAACCGTACGTACACAATAAAGAGTAAACGATGAAATACATATTTTATGCTACATATGTCACAACGACAAATTTCAAATAGCGTCTTCCTATTTTTCTTCTTTTTCTTGTTTTCTATTTACAAAAACAATGCATAAACTTCGATGGATATATGATTATGCTCACCAAGTGTCAAAGAAAAGAAGGAGTAATGAAAACAATCACACAAACACCAAGATACATACTAAGAATGTTTGTGATTATACAAATAAATAAATAGGATACATAAGAGACAGAAATATACTGAAAGACAGATGAAGAGATCCAATCCCTCCTTCTATTTATCTATTATTGAAATTGAATAAAACCATGTGTTGCTTGTTGATAATTTGTATTCATATGATTACTTACAGTTGGATCAACCATAGATGAATTTTGTTGTTGATTATAATTTGATACTTGATGAACATGTTGTGAAGAATTTGAATATTAATTTTCTGATTCCCAAAGATGACGTACAGCTTGAATTTTATCAGCTAAACATTGTTGACTATTAATTGAAGAACGATCATATTGATTTTCTTGTTGTTGCTGTTGTTGTTGTTGTTGAGATGATTGAGCTGTCATGGATGGCATCATTGTATTCATAAATAATAAATGTTGATTATGATTATTTATCATATTATTTTGTTGTTGGAAAGAAAGCATTGATAGAAGGCGAAGAACATTCTTAATAATAAAAAGAAACAAAAAAAAAAAGATGTTTTTTTAAATGTTACTATACTTCTCATAATTGGTTTCTTTTTAAACTATTGTACCTGTGAGAAGAATATTCTGACATTGAAGTTAATGAATCTTAGAACAGAGCAACCTTGAATTTATCTAATAGGGGGTGGGTGTAAATATTGACCTTCTCTACTCGCATACACATGCATGGATTAGACAGCTGGAAACACCTGCTTAATGCAAATATTACTACGTCCAATTCAAACTTATACGTAGTAATTAATGAATTAAAGAAAGCCTATGCGTTCAATACAGCTACAATGAAACAAATTGATAATAATAATGAAAAAGATTATTATTTTTTTTCTTGAGAGCTGCGATTTCAGTCTATTGACCTGAAGTCATTGCAAAAAGCATCTATGCAGAGATAGTTCACTATACTAAGTCGAATGGCGATATTTGCTTTTGGATTTGAAATGATCTGACACTGTTACTTCAGTATTTTCAAAGTTTCACAATCTGCTGTCGTTCAGCACAATAGGGTCTACATGTCACAAATATTGACATAACAGTATCAGATCATTTTGAATCCGTCAAAAACAAATATCACTATTTGGCTCAACGAAGTGAATTACTTCTTTCAGATGTTTTTTGTGATGACTTGCGGTCAATTGGCTGACATCAGGAATCAAGAAAACATCTATAACTCTTGAAATGAATAAATTAGTAATATCGGTCTGGTATAGATCGAAAGAGAACAGTTTTTTCTATCTAGTGATCATTTAAGCAATGAAATTCAACTGAAAAATATATGTATGCACTTGGATCTTCTCTTTTTTTAATAGTGAAAATTACAGTTCTTTATTTTCTCCATATCAAGAGTTATTCAAAAACAAATATCCATCGCTCTTCTTTGTTGAAATGAATCATAGTAGCAGAAAAATGATTTAACGATTAACTGAAAAGAGATTTGAAGTATTTTTCTCTTACAATCAACGTTTGAAACATTTCTAACAGTTCTTTCTGGCTAAATATCAAATGTTGTAATCAAGGAAATAACTTTAACAAGGAAGAAATAGTCTTTTTATGTCCATTTTCTAATTGTTTCGTCCATTCATCAGTAAAACATTTTGCTATTTGATGTATTTCGTTTAGTTTATCTTTAGGACACCTGTCTAACATTGATAATGGCACACCCCATCGAGCACCAGCTAATATACCGACTAGAATCGGACAAAAAAGTTTATCAAGTTCATATGCATGTTTCAAAGCACTTTCAAATGAATCAGCCTTTGTAACACAATATAAAGCAGTATGTAACGTGTTTGGTGCATATGCAGCATGTACACGAGAATTCAGAACAGTATCATTTTGATATCGATGTTGAATTTCTTGAATTTCACCCAACAGATTGGGGACAGTTGTAAAAGCAGCTTTGATAGCATCAGCCCATTCGTCACCTTTGATTAAACGTCGACAAATCAAGTTCGTCAAACCAGATACTTGTGCAGCTGTATTACTATAATGCGTAAGCTGTGCTTCATCACATGCTATTTGAAAAAGAGTATCGTCATTGATCCATGGACAACAAGCAAGTGGAAAAGAACGTAGAGCAGGATTACATCCACTTGAAAGTCCTTTTAATTGTTCATGAGCAGATTGTGATGCATTTTTGATTTTTTCTATTGGAAATTTAAATTGTTCCCTTGTTAATTTATTTGGTGCTTTTGTTATAGTTGCTTTAAGTTCTTGATAAACTAATTTAGTTGTCTCACCAACATTAGGCTTTGAGAGATGGTATAAATATAGATAATGAGACATGACACTAGATTCCTTGAATGCTTTATATTTTTGTAAACTTTTACCAAGTGAAAGAGCCATATCAGTCGATGCTTGAAACTTATCAGCAATAGCTTGACCAAGCATCATATGTTCACATATGTCAAATGATTGAGCCATCAATCTAGAACAAAGAAAAGATTTTATACTCACAATACAAAATGTCTATCTAATATAAAATTTTTCATTAAATTATTAAAAACATTTTCATGGTAAAAATACAATACTGTTTTGATGATTTTTCAAGCATTTGCATTCTCATATTGTGAAATCCATTGTTTGCTTAATTCATTTGTTGTATCACGAATTATTTTCAATTGCACATCAATAGCCTTATATTTATACAAATCTAATGGAATACTCCATAGAGCTTCCGATAATACACCAATAATAGGTAAACAGTAAACATTTCTATTAACCTTAGCTTTTTCAATAACTTCAGCTACATTATTTGAAGTAGTCATATAATGAAGTGCTTCGTGAAGTACTGTTGGAGCATAAGCTGGATGTATGTTTTTACTTGGAGTAGACCAACGACTATATCGATAATATATATCACTTAAATCAGTATGAAGAGAATGTGTTAAAATGCTGATTGAACAGCATCGTGCCATGTATTATTCCTTAATAATGATCGGCGAATAAAATTACCAATATCAGCAACTTGTCATGCTAATGGATTAAAATAAGTTAATGTTGCTTCTTTTTTTGATATATTATATAGATCATCATCATCGATCCATGGACATAGTGCAAGGAAAAATGAACGATGAGCTGGACCACATCCACCTGTATAACCACCAAGTTTTTTATCAGTTAATTTAACAGTTTCATCAATAGTCAATTGATCAAAAAGAAAATCTTCACGACAAACAGATAAATGTTCATGATAGTTTTGTATTTTATCTTTCAAATTTTCATAGATAAATTTCATCGTTTCACCAAGTTCATATTTTTTTGTATGATATAAATAGAGATGTCGAGACATTATGTTAGATTCATCGAAACTTTTTAATTCAAGAAGACATTCGCTAAGTTGTAATGCCATATGACATGAAACATCAAATTGTGATGTAATTATATGTTGCATAAAGATCCATCACAACATGTTTGAATATTAATCATTTGACTGAGAACAAATTATTAAATATAAAAACTAAAACTTAGGAAAAATCCAAGAGAAGATTCTATTTTCACCTGTATCTTGTTATTTTGGTAAATCTAAGATATAGAAATGCAAACAATCCACAAACGAGTAAAGTTTTGACACACACAGGACGATAAAATACGACATACTTCACAAGAAAAAATTCTATTGTTGTTACATTGCATGTTTTGCTTTAGAAAAGAATTTCTCTATTGGTTATGTATCATAAAGTCAATATTAAAAAAAAAGGATAAAAACAACAATAATCACATGTTCTACATAACTATTTTGTTATCATGATAAAGTTCGTTTTTTCTATTATATGAAAAGAATGAGATACACAATTTTAAAAGCGTAAAATACGTATTATTTACTCTAAATATTTCTCTCAATGAATATAGTGGTCACAAAAAGTCCTGCTACCAGGTAAAAAATACCTAAACTTTAAGCTTTTTGTGTGTCATAATATGACTAAAAGTAGAGTATGTTGAACTTTGATCTCAATGACTAATCAGGACTAGATTGGCGTTTATTGGAAAAACTTCAAAGGTTACCATAGATTTTTTCTTCAGATAAAGATATCTCAACATGGAAAATAAATCTCATGATGTTAGATCTGTCATTCAACAGCTCAGTGCTGTTTCTGTCATCAACAGCAATTTTATATCAAAATGGTTTTAGTTTTCCTGATTTATGAAGTATTCTTCGGATAAACTTTACATGAGAGTTAATGACAATCAACGAAAAGTGACTAGTATTCCTAGCTAATATTAACCATTAACTTTGAAGTTTTCTCCAGTGGATGCTCTTTTGTTATCGAATGCTCCATGAAAATTTCACGGTCACAATCATCAATGGAGAACACATCCGTCCTATATTCGTTCTAGGCGATGGAAACTTCCGCATGCCTCAAGATTACAGCAAATTCAAGTACCCTATCTATGACACAACATAGGCATGCCATTATTTAGTTTTTAATAATACAATGAAAGTTATCGCATTTAAATAGTAGAAAATGAAAAAGATGTCAAGAAAAACCTTTTTTGGGCTTCCAGGAAAAATGCCAATGTTTTCACTGTAAATTCTTTGTATTAGAACCTATCGACCACGAGCTGCTGTCTACAAGTAGGATTTACATAGATTCGTTCGTAACTAAAATATCAGGCAATAGGATTGAAGTTAATGTACGATTTGTTCGGTAGCGAGACTTCTTGTGGCTACTATACAGTAACAATATAACAGTTGATTAGTATTATATGTGTGAATCATTTGTCTGATTAAAATAACATTTATTGAATTCCTTTTCTTTTTTTGTGTTTTATATTTGTATGATGTTGAAATTCCGATGGACGTCACTGGTAACCAATGTCAATTGAATCAAGATTTTAATGATTGGCTTTTTAAAATGAATCAATAAAAAAACGAATAAAATCGAAAAATTGAAACATAAAGCGTAATTTTGTTGGCTTTTTTTTTATTTCAATTTTCTTTCTGTTTTCAACCATGTCAAACAATAATGGTCCTAATCCTTTACCTCTTTTTAATAACAACAAATCACTTTATGGAACACGAACTCAAATAAATCAATCATCAAAGAAAATTTCACTTATCGAAGATAAAACAACACTTGAACCAGCACGTCCAACACCATCATCACCAATAATATCTTCGACAAATTTAAATACAAATAATCAAAGATCAGCATCAATTAGTATATCAACATCATCTGAATTATCACCTTCAATAATACATAAATACGTTCAAATACAACGACAAGCATTGGCTTCATTTGATCTTAAACAAATGCATGAACATGTTAATCAAGAATTAGATGAATGGAAAAAATCAATGTATGATCGTATATTATCAATGAAAAATCGTACATTAGAAGAAAATACTCATTCATATGACCAATTACGAACATTACAAAGAGTTATGAAACAATTACTTGAAGATAAATTAATAAAACAATTATTATTTATGAAAAATAATTCACAATTAATTAATTCTGAAGAACTTGATGATATCGAACAAAAGTTAAAATACATAAAAGTAAGATTTATATAGAGATACCCCGATCTCTCACTTTTAGACCATTTCTAGTTTTTTACGAGAGGATAACCTATCAGGTTCAAACTTTTGTCACATCTAGAGTATCAAAAGTGATGAAACCTATACTCGAAGAAAAATAATTGTACAAAGAGATCTTTAAAAACCGTCAGGCCTGCTTCAGATCCTGGTCGGACTGAATTTTTTTCTCGAGACACTTGGAACAAAATCTCAGAGATATTTATAAAAATATCAATCTCTTGATTTTTCATTCAAAAAAAAGAAATACGAGAAAGACAGCAGTAAAAATTTGAGTCTGACAAATTGTACTATTGCGGAGAATTAGAAATGTTTCAAGAGAGAAGACGCTCTTAATTATAATCTATTAATTGTTATTTTCTATACATTTTTTTTTCTTTAGGATGAAATTGATTTCATGAAAAAATTCGATTCACAACTTGATACTTCGAATGTTCAAATAACTGGTGAATTACAATTAAATAAAACAACAGATTTTAGTAAACATCAACCATTACCTCATCCTTCACCTTCACCACCACCTCAATCAGTAGTACCACCAATACCTGAAACAAGTAACCGAAATGAATAAATAATATAAAGTTCAATTTTATTTTATGTCCTATCTTTAGTTCCTAAATCTCCTTCACCTAGTCCAGATGAATATAAACCAACGCCACCAGTTTGGACAGATGCAACACGACAAGGTCTTAATGATTTATCTCGTTATCTTCCATTTCGTTTATTAATACCAAATTATGTTCGACAAGAATTAATAAAAAGTCTTGATATTGAACAATTTCATGATGTATTAAAACTTTCATGTCAATCATCCATTGAATGTATATTAACAATAATAGATCAAAATGATCTTGATGCATCTATGGATATTTTAACAGATTTAATGGTTGCTTTTAAATGTTCATCAGATCAATATGAAATTCGATTATTATTTCACAAAAAGTTTATATCAATTATAACTGGAAAACGTAATGAACGTCTAGAACGTTTACGTGATAAATATCAACTTGATATGGTTAAAGTTTTTCCACAAACATGCCCACAAAGTGATGAACGTGTTGTACTATTACGTTGTCAACATAGTGAATATATTATTTAGTAAGTTTTCTTGTACAGAATGATCTATAACGATAGACTCATTAGTTCGATATCTCTCTACATATACACCCTGACTAATCATGAGAACAGATATATGCCATCACTTAGTCAGCAAGCTATCGAACAAGTGATCTGAGACAAACAGTCGGAATTGACTTTTCTCGAATTATTTCATGGCTAATGGTACTGAGACTAAAGCACAATATCTATTGAATGCATGCTCAACAACATAGCTATTCAATCGTTTGAAAAATGCATGATATAGCATTGAGATGTCGTTAACAAAGTTCATGGAGTTCATAGGACGTATGATTATAGAATTCGAAAGTTCAAAATTTCCACAAGATGATTCTTTATCTAAAAATAAAACAACAAAAAGAAAGCTTGGGATTGGTGAAATATGAAATCGGAACATATTAGGACAGGAAATTAGAGTATGAGAATAGTTCAACGAAGAAATGTTGAGCATCATAAACAATCAGCATATATAATGAGTTTATTGAGTGAATGATAAATATATATGTCATATTTATCGGAAAATAATGTTCAATCATGAAAAAGAATAAGCAATTTTAAAATGGCTTGATTGCAATCATGTTACAAAAAACAGTAACGACCAAACAATTTCATTCTGTTGTTCACTAAATCCAAAAAGGTCTTTGTGATTGTAACCGTAACCAAAAATATTCTGGTTACGTAAATTTCTATTCGAAAGCTGTTCATATATGGTTGTTTTTCAGACGATTGATAGTTAATGATGATTCTATGAAGATATCAATATCTTACAAGTCAATATTCACTAATTTTTAAGTAAAGAAGAAAATAAATCTATATAAATGCTAAAAAAATCATTGATCAAACCTCATTTACACTTATAATACAATAATTCTGATAGCACTCAATACAAATACAAAATAGTAATGCACTGAGACTTTTTCTATATTCATATGCAAAATGATTTTAAAAAACTTTACATCATTGTTTGTGTCTTAGTTGTATTCGAGAAATTATTCAAAATGTTCTTGAACAAGCTCATTTTACTGATGAAGACAGTAATCAATCATATCCAATGTATGATCCATCAGTAAATTATGATGAATCATGTGCTCATGAATATGGTGCTTATAAACCAAATGATACTTGTGAAATAACTTTAAATAGTAATATTACTGCTTCACTTGAAGATTTAAGTGAATCAAAACAACGATCAACTATTTCAATAAATTCATCATCATCATCATCATTATCAAAAAATCGTTATAATTATGAAGATGCACCATTAAATTATGATGATACAGAAACAGAATCTGATGATAATGATGATGATTTTCAACGTTCAAAATCATCTGATGATAAACGAATATTTGTTAAAGAATTAAATTATGTTAAAGGGCGACAAGTTGGTTTATTAATTGGTCCATTTGGTATATTTATTCGTTTTTTTTTTGTTGATATTTCTTAGTTCTATATAATTTAATTTTTAGGGCAACATATAACACAAATTCGTGAACAAACCGGTGCAAAAATTCATTTAACAAATGATGATAATGAACCATCTGTGATTAAAGGAACGAAAAGGCAAATCAAAGAAGCACTTCGTTTAATTAAAGAATGTTTACAGACACAAAAACCAATTCCACGAACAGCTTACAAAGGTGGTCGACGTCGTTAAATTTTGTTTTCTTGTTTTTGTATTTCTTTTTTTTTTCATTCAATGTGTACATTCGAAATATGTCACAGCTTTGACACTCATGAATGTGGAGAATGAACTTATATTCATTGTTGTTTTAGAAATCTTGTTATAGTACGCTATGGTAGATAAATGAATGGCTGATAGGTGATATCTATTAGCCATTAGAACAAATTGACATATGTGAAGTTTAATCCATCTTATAAAAAAATAAGATGAGAGCATCCAATATAAAAAAAAGAGGGACGTTCAAGGACAGAGAATTAAGAATTTCTCTTCAGTTCTCTCACAGTTCCCTGGATGCTAGAATACAAAAAAATTGAAATATCTAAGTGATTTTTTTACTCTCAAAATTATTCAAATCAAAGACGTTATGAACATGAATGTGTGAGTAAGAAAACTATTTTACGAAAAGCATCACTTTCACTTGCATGAATGGGAAAACTCTGAAGAAACCAATGGTCAATTCTCATTTTCTCGAGAAATTATCATAGCGACACTGATAGTTCTTCTACAGACTAGGAATTCATACTTCTCAGTTCTTGAACATTGCTGACTATTGATGGAAAAAACTAAATAGTATACTTTTTCATAGAAAATAAAAGTTTGAACATCGTACTATGTCTGTAAAAGTATTTGCAGGATGTAGATTAATGCCGGCCAAATACCGATTTTGAACAGTCATATCTGTACCCGACAGTAGTTTACATAGTTTTTGCTTATATTTAAATAGTCTAGCTTAAAAGTTTTATTGATCCTAATTCTAATGTCAGGCCAATGCTTATCCAGGTCATAATCATAATAGTTCTACTCTGAAGACCAGATTCGAATTCTCTGCAACTCTAACACCTAAATTGCAAATGTGATGTAGTAAAACCAAAACAAATGACGAATGTATTAGAGCTCTTTTTCAAAAGTTTTATAATATTGCGTAAGGTGCAAATTCGATTCTTTTCTGAAAGATTTCAGATAATCACGGGAGAAGATATTGATGAAATTCATAATATGTATGAACGTATACCTAGGCACAATATTCAATTTACTACACAAGTTTTTTTTCATGTTGAAAACAATGACGCAAAAAATTATGAATTAATTTCCTTTATTACAATTATTCATAGTAATATATACACAATAACTCTGAAATTAAAAAAAGAACTTATGAGATTGTGCGGAAGTATGTGTAGCTTTGTTACAAATGTCAGCAGATAATGACATGCAACATGATGTTTTTTAGTCAAACGAAGCAACTTTCATTTTAATTCACTAATCAATATCTCTACAAATTGTTCATGAAAGATCACGTTGAAATAAAGATGTTAATTTATAATATTATCCACTAAAATATTTTTTTATGATTGTTTTAAAAAGAATTGATTCAAATATTTAAATTGTAACTAGACATTATTAAGAGCTATTAGATATTAAACTAAATGAAATAAAACTTTTATTGAGATTATTAACAAAACATCATATGAATCACTTAATAAATGGACAACAACAAAGAAATCTCTGACAAAATTACACAGAAAATAAATTTCAGATACCTTTCACTTGCTAAAGGTTCATATAGTTTCTGTTACATTCTCAATTACTAATATTTGTGCATAAGTAATGGAGATTGATACGTATTTTCTCTACTTGAATAACTAAAGTTTTAACAGTTATTTAACTAAGCACAAACTGAACTCTTAATAAAACTGAAAACAAATAAAGAAGAAGATTGGTAATTAATTGAATAATTTCATTTTTCTTTCGAGAAGTCAAGTCAAATTTTAATATTGACATGTTAGAAATTCGTCGCTCATCGATACATTTCAAAGTTAGTTTCTGTTTTTATATTCAAAAAATGCAAATAAAACTCATGATGGTTCTCTCTCGTTTCGTTAACTAATTAAGTCTAATAAGAGAAATTTCTTTGTTGGTCAACATCATTTTTTCTCTCATTTCGTTGACAAATATTATTTTCCTTTGACAGATTGTATTTTAATAATTAAACGTTTAATCGACAAGTTAAAGTACAATAGAGAACACCGTGAATTACTACTCACTTATTAAAAATTAAACTAAACATATGGCTAATAAAAATATTTTTTCTAATTTTTATATAATAACATTTGAGAAGAAAGGCTGTGGATGTCCTTTTAATCTATATCCACACCCTACTAATTACGTGCTTAATTATTTGAATTCTTAACTTGTTGGCCAAACGCTCAATCAATAGATTGTTATCTGTGAAACAATGAAAAAGTTGTCAACGAAATGGGATGATACCCTCTTTGTTATTCTTTTAATTGTTGATTAATGATAGTACTTTCTACTAATCAATACTCTTCATCAACTAAAATGGCTGATCAACGCAATAAAAAAAAAACTATTAAAAATAAAATGCTACGATATCTAATATTTATCATATTTTACATCATAAGTCTAAACCTAAGAAAACTTTATTATGAAGTAGAATAGAACTGAAAAAGTTGATTTCAACGATATTTTTTATTTTCAACATTGAAAACAGAGAAAACATCAAAATTTGAATTTTTTGTTCGTTAATACAAGTTTTTGAATATCGACGAATGATATATCATTCGCATTGTGCTATCATTTTTAAATGATATGTGATAGATGAACACGTGGTTTCTTCCGTATGTTCATCATATTTAAAGTTATTCACAATTTAAACTGAAAAACAGCAGTCATTATTTGAGCAAGAATAAATAAACATAAAGTATTCTTTTGAAAATCATTAATAATAATGAATCGACAATTATCATTACCGTGTCATAATCAAGTTTGTAATGACTCGATTTAATTATTTTCTATCATATATTTGCTGTTTATATAGTTTTTTACAATGCATCCTTCTTCACATCAGTTTAATGAACAACTTTTATGTATGAAAACAAAACCAATTATTAGAAGTACTTCAATGATAAATCAAAATTTATTTTTGAAATCACATAATCCCGTTAGTAAAGAATTCATGTATGTAAATATAACGCTTTCAATACATATATTTAGTATGTTCTCTCGTCCATATGTCATCACCCTTCCCATGATCTTAATAAAACTCAAATATGTCGTTCTAATTCATCATCAGTATCAACATTAAATCGTCATTTATCAATGTCATCCTATGATCAAGTAAATCAACAAGATTTTTCTTATTTTTTTTCCAAATGATTATTTTATTCAAATAGTTTTCTTCAATACATCATCGATTTGAAGAAGATCATCCATTACGTATTCATGTTGGAAATATACCATTTCTATGGACTATCGATGATTTATGTAAACAATTTCTAGTAAGAATATTAATCATAGACATAAATCTTATTCACACGATATAAACGGAGTGTTGAAGTATATAGAATACAAATTTGCCTAACTAGCAAAACTATGACAGACATTTGCTATGAAAACGTAACAGATCATGAAAGACTTCGTTGATATACAATCACACATCGTATATGAATAATGTCTCACTATAATAAATGAACTACTTCCTTATTGGATTGCTGGAGGATTAAGTAAAAGAAGATTGAAATATGTGCCACAATACATGGAATAAGATAATCTCCGGGGCGATTAGTTACAGCGTGTTTCACATTTTAATTCAGCAGGGAATGCACTGACAGCTTTCTATTCAAGGTATTTGGACCAATCAAAGATCCTGAAATCGTTTCAAATGAACGTGGTTCAAAGGTATAATGAATACTTTTAAAGAAGAAAACTAATAGATTTTTTTTTTCTTAAGGGATTTGGATTCGTTACATTTCTTCGTCATGGTAAGAAATATATCAATAAAAAGAAAAACTACTGATAGTATTTGTATAGGTGATGGTTTAAATGCAATTCGTGTTAAAAATGGTTCGATTGCTGATGGTAGAAAGATAACAGTAAGATATTTACTTTATTTATTCATTTTAATAAAACTCATATGATTTAATTTTTTTTTTTGTTGTCTTAGGTTGCGTTAGCGTCTTCTCGATCATCAACTCGAATAAATTCTTCTCATAGTCATTATTATTTATATAAACAATAATATTCTAAATTAAATAGTTCGTTTCATTTCGTTTCGTGTTTCTTTTTTTTTTGCAAATAAAACTAAATTCATTATTAGGCGATCTGACAATCATCGCTCTTTTTCTCTCATGCATACACAAACAACCAACAACATATATTAAAGATAATTATCAGATAAAAAGAAACAAAAAGAAAAAAAAAATAGTTACGTATATATGACACAAAAGAAAAGAAAATTTTATTTATCATTTTTCTGTACACCGGTTCTTATTTTCCACCACTTAATTGTTTTTCTTCAAGAATTTTTATACGATTTTTTAATTCAACATATTCTTGATTATATATTGAATTTAATGTTAAATCTTCTTTTTCAAGTTCAATTAAACGTTTTTTTAAACGTTCAATTTCATTCGGTATGATTGGATTATTATAACTTCTTATATCACTATTATTTAATGATATTGTTCTTCCAACATGTGATATGTCTCGTTTTTTTGTATCTGTTGTCATTGACCATGATACTGAATGATTTATTGCTCGTTGTCGATGAGAATTTAATGATGATGTTACACTAATTGATGATGCAAGTGGTGCAGCAGTTAACAAAGAGTTTGATGAAGTTGAAAGTTGTTGTTGGTTTTGTTGATTAGAAAATGAATTTGAGGGAATAATTGAAGATGTAATTGCGGGTACATCAGTTTCTCTAACAGATGGTAATCGATGAATTCCACTACCAGCTCGACGAACAGGAGCATGAAATGGAAGATGACAACTTGCTTCAACAAGACCCGGTGCACTTTTACTTCGTTTTAAATTAACTAAAACATAGAGCAATAAAAAATTCTAATGCAAATATTCTTTTATTTCTTGTTTACCTTGTTGAATTAATGGTTTTTTATGTTTTTCAAGACGTTTAACAGCTATTGCTTCAAGTTTAACACGTACAGCTGGATATT